AAATCATGATTGCGATGAAACCTGGACTGAAATTTAAAAGGTTGTCAGTTTTATGGAAAGAAAGCCTGCATTCAGCTGTGACGATTGCAATAACGCACGCCGAGTTAAAAAGTGTCTTTCGTTTAAAAAGTTTTAAGAACAAAAGCAATACGAAATGCGAAAAATATTGAGAATAACATTAGAAGAGAAAGAATCATCATGCAACAGCGATTAAAAAATCCTCGTTATATTTGTTTTGCATACGTGGCATACTTAATTTAATGAATTTTTATTAACATTACATAATTTATTTCTTTTTCCTTAAAATCAATTCCTTTATATTTCACTCACCATTAGCTTATTTTGCTTACTATAAAAATAAAAAAAAATAAATGTTAAATTTACTTAATATAAAAATAAAAAAAAATAAATGTTAAACTTGATTTTAGTTCTTTTATTTTAAGCTAAATATAACCTCTTATATCCGGACTTTGTAACCAATTCCTCATATCCGGAAAGCCTTCTGAGTCCAGGTGTCAGGGATTCTACTTTATTTCAATGAAATTGTAGCAATACTAAAACGTTTATGTTCTTGGATAAAGTTTTAATACGACAGACTATTTAATCTAGAGTTTTAATACGGCAGTAATCCAGAGTTCACGAAGCACAAGTGATTTCTATTTAAATTATTTAAAAGCGAGATGTATCGAGAAAAACGATATTCTAACTCCAGTGACTCCCCAATACATTTAATGAGATAATTATTAATCACAGTTTTCATTTCCCTCGTTATGAGCATTATTGTATCCATTATATAATAACACGGACGGAACGGAATGACCAAAATAAAAAAGAATGACAAACATGTTTTCTTCTCAGAGAGACATTTATACTGCTATGTCATATACAAAACTATATACAAACATTTAAACTTGTTTCGACGCAGAGAAACTATAACACATGTATACCACAACAAGCACTGCAAAAGGGATTATAGGGTTTTAGTTGTAATAATTCCCAACAGGAACTGGAGCTGCCGGATGACTGTTCTGTGTTTCTGAGAAAAGCCATGTCGCAGCTCAAAAACACATAATAAATCTCTGCATTTATCTTGAGACATTCATATTTTTAAGATTACCTATAATTTAAATACTTATACCAATATCTAAAATATTAGTCCACCTATCGATTGTTGTCTTCTGATAGTAACGAATTCTCTGTTTCCTTCACTCTGTTCCTTTTCGTCCTCAGTAACTCGTTTCGTCCCATTGTATCGTATTGTTTTGGGGTTAAATGTTTAATAACGCGATGGCTATCGAAGGAGTGTCATATGGAAGTTTGACTGGCAAAGCAAAATTTATTTTAACGAGAGCATTTTGTTTCGATGTTATAAAAAGGATTCTAATGGAGTTTAAGAATTATATCTCTTTTGAGCGTAGTGCAGAAAGTGTAAAAAGTGAATTAGTGAATGTTGGAGAGACAAGTTGCCAGTTGAAAAGGTTAGGACGGTTGTCAAGCAGTTCAGGTGACAGATGTTACCAGAAATCGTCCTGGCACAAAATCTAGCAAGATTGTTTCAAAGCAACTCGCTGAGTCGGTAACAGGGACGTTTTGAGGATCATAAGTGAAACCATATTGGAAGTAGGTTTCATTGCATCATCTCTCTCTCTCTCTCTCTCTCTCTCTCTCCCTCTCTCTCTCTCTCTCTCTCTCTGTCTCTCCTGTCGTCGTAATGCAGGCCGCTTTCCAAGGCATAAACGACATCATCAGATGAGGATGCTGCTGGGTTCCCTTCCCAAATCAAACCCGTAGGTGTGGACCGTTGTGATGGAAAACAGCCGGATGGCATTACCGTTTTAAAATAGGGAAGTCGCTGATTTGGGATGCGACCTATGCCGATACATTTTCGACCGAAAATTTGGTAAGGTTCGCGGTTAAGCTGGTGTCTTTCGCTCGGGACGCGGAGATAATAATAAAAAAAATATTTAAATATTCTTCTCTTGCTGATAGATTTTTTTTTTTTTTTACTCCTGTGGCAGTGGAAACTTCTGAGGTTATTGGCCCTCGTTCGATGGCATTTCTTCCGAGAGTTGGCGGGATGACGTCTCGATTAATGGACGTGCCTCGCGAAATGCAGTGGCTCATGCAGCATGTCTCACTGGCGATGGTCCGAGTTAATGCTTTCTCAATCATTGCGGCTGGCAGAGGATAGCAAAAACATTGTTTTTGTTTATAGATACTTTGTTCAAACAAAAAATTTGTTTCAACAAATAAATAAAATCCGTAGGCCTCGACCGTGGTGATGGAAGGGGGCCCGATGGCATTACCATTTTCTCTTTTAAAATGGGGAAGTCGCTGATTTGAAATGCAACCTGTACAGATTCATTTTCAACCGGTAATTTGGTCAGCTCCACGGTTGAGCCGGGGTCTGTCGCTCGGGACGCGGAGATGAAAAAATAGTTAAATATTCTTCTCTTGCGCACAGATGTATTTTTACTGCAGTGGCAGTGGAGACTTCTGGGGTTATTGGTCCTCGTTCGATGGCGTTCCTTCGAAGCGTTGGCGGAATTACGTCTCGATTAAGGGACATCTACCGGACACTATTCGTAACATACTTGTAGATAACATTAATATAATAGCATCAGCTACATGCAAAAAAAAAAAAAAAAAAAATATAAAAAATAATGGAAGCCTTATTAATAAAAAAGACAAAAAAAAAAAAACAATGAATAATATTAACTATGAAAATGGACACAATATCTTGTCTGTGTTTTGAAAAAAATGGAAACATTTTCTAAAACATACATGCAACAAACTATTTCTTATTTAACAATTAAAATATTTAATCCTTGAAGATGACTAAATGTATAGCCGAAAGCGCTCGGATAAAAAGAAAATTCGGACAGCTTTTATATATTTTATTATCTGAAAAGAAAAAAAAAATTATTAGATCGCATGAGAAATTGTATAAAAAACTAAATAAAAAACACCGTGTCTGTCGTATTCAATGAAATGCGATATATATATATATATATATATATATATATATATATATATATATATATATATATATATATATATTATTTAAAAATATGATTCCATCGTTACATAAGAGTTCTCCGAGTTCTTATCTATTTATTTCCGTCGGCACGGTGGAGTAATGGATAGCGGCTTGGATTGAGGAATCGCAGAGCCGAGATTCCAGTCGAATCCATTACATTTACTTACGTGCTAATAGCCTTGGGAAAGGTGTGAATCCTCTTCCTCTCCCTCCAGCTATGGGTAAAATAGCAGGACAGACTGGGTTCTATAGCATTGGATGGCAACTGGTCTAGGAGAAGGACAACTCTGAATTCAAAACCTGCGAAGGGTCGTTTGGGAACCTTGTGTCATTCGGTGCACCAGGTCTCCGTATTCGGCCCTTCAAAAAGTGTGGATGGTCCTGCACGAGGCCTTCACCACTATAATCAAATCTCATGTGCCGGTGTCGGGCTGTCGGTTTCCCGGAAACTGATCTGCTTGACCCTCCTACGTCGAATCTCGACGGGAGAGTCGATTATATATATATATGAAGTGTTTCAATTTTTCGAAGAAGTTGTTTTATACAATCTGTACTCTTTCCAAAGATCATGTTTTCTTTCTTTCCCAATTGTTTTTTGCCCCGGTTGTACCAGCGTTGATAGTTCCGCACATGACAGACGCGTCTCTTTGTGTCTGCGTGTAATAACTGTCGGCATGTTTTCAAAGTCGCTAAATCTTTGTCTACTGACAGAATGAGACATTGTACAGCCTCTAACAAGTTTGTTTCCCGTGACTACTGGCAGCTCTGTAATAGTGTATTAAATAAGGATCAGTCTTCTATCCCCACTCTCTTCACCCATTTTGAAGTGTTAACATCTTCTGATGATAGAGCAGAATGGTTTCTGCTATTAACTCTAAACTGTATCATCACAAAGCATAAGAACTTGATGGTAAACCTACAATATTCCTTAATAAATGAACTCCTGAACAGTCTCCCGATCTGTCTAAACTCTGCAATAGATGCTTTCTTGCTTTCATGTTTGTTGGAAATCCTCTTCTGTAGTTCCAGTCTTTAAGAGCTCAGGCGAATCATCTTGTGTTTCCGTCGGCTTATTAGCCTTCTACATCTACTTGGCAAAGCACTAGAAGTTCTAATCATCTCTGAATTTGTTAGGCATCTCACACCGTATGGTTTTCTTTCAGACAAGCAATATGACTTTCGCTTGTCTAGGTCAACTGCTGATAGGTTACCGATTATTGCCGAAAGTGTCTAATAAGCTTTAGGTGAGAACGGTGAAGTTCGGACTCAAGATTTGAATATCTCGAAGGCAATTGACAGGGTTTGGCATAATGTCTTTTTTTCATAAATGAAAGGTTATGGTAATTCTGGATGAACATTTAAACTAAATCAATCTTTCTTATTAAATCTCGAAATAAAAGTAATCTTGAATAGCCATTCTTCTTTCTTTTTGCATTAATGCAGGTGTTCTTCCGGGCTCTGTCTTTAGACCTACATTTTTCCTTATTTTTACATCGACATTCCTGATGTCATCGCTTCTCAACTTGTTATTTGTACTGATTACACATCTGTTTACGCCTGTCTCAGTCGTAAATCTGATCGGTTCGATAAGCTCAAATTGGTAGCTGATCGCAAAAATGACCTAGAATCTGTTGTTAACTGTGGCAAGAAATGGCTTATTAATTTTAACGCCTCAACAACGAAATTGCTGTCTATGAGCCGACCGAGAGAACCTTTTGTGCTTGGTCAGCATGGCTGATGCAAACCTTCAGAAGAGTGACTCATTGCGCCTTCTCGGTGTATCGTTTTCCGCCGACATAACGAAGAATGATTATATCGAATCAATTGCTAGGAGTGCTGACTCACTGCGAAGATAATTTTTCTTGTCAGAATTTATTTTACACTAACAAATAATCGCCAAACTGATCGAGGTTAGTTTCTCCATTATTTTTCTTATTATCAATATTCCTTTCGTCTCCTTTCAGGTGAAGAGAGAGAGAGAGAGAGAGAGAGAGAGAGAGAGAGAGAGAAGCAAGTGTGAGAGAGTGTGAGAAAAACTAAGGGGGAGATAGAAAGAGAGAGTTAAAAGAGAGAGAGAGAATGAGAAAAATAGAGTGAGAGAGAGGGAGTATAAGAGAGAGTGAGAGACAGAAAGATATAGTGAGCGAGAGAAAGAGAGATCAATAGTGAAAGTGAGAGAGAGAGAGAGAAAGAGAAAGAGGGAGAGAGAAGCGAGTGTGAGAGAATGTGAGAAAAACTAAGGGGGAGATAGAAAGAGAGAGTTAAAGAGAGAGAGAGCGTGAGAATGAGAAAAAGAGAGTGAGACAGAGAGTATAAGAGAGAGTGAGAGACAGAAAGAAATAATGAGCGAGAGAAAGAGAGAGAAATAGTGAGTGTGTGTGAGAGAGAGTGAGAGAGAGAAAGAAAGAGTGAGAGAGAGAGAGAAAGAGAGAGCAAGAGTGAGAGGGCGAGAAAGAACGAGAGAGAGAGAAAGAGAGGGAGATAGAAAGAAAGAGTAAGAGAGAGAAACGGAGAGCAAAAGTGAGAATGTAAAAGAGAGAGCGAGAGAGAGAGAGAGAGAGAAAAGAGTGAGAGTGTATATGTCTAAAGAGTGAGAGTGTATATGTCTAAGAGAATATATACAGTATGTATGTACTTGGGTTGGTGTCAAGGCGCGTGATTGGGCCACTGGAGAGTGATGGACCGAAAGCCTTTGATAGGATATCCATCTTGGAGAAGGAAAACCGTGATGTAACACCGCCCTCACTGCTAACCCTCCCCCCGGATATCTTGCATTACTTAGTCTCTGGAATTCTTAGCATTGTTGGTGGGAGAGGCTTTTGCGGTATTCTGCTTGCCATACACGTAATCTCCTCACGACCATTGCTGACAACTTAACATTTAGTGACTCATCTATGGATTAAATAACAGAGCAGACTAAGTTCTCTAACTGGATAGCAACCACTTTAGAATTCAGGACCGTAATCATGGATTTAGCTTACCAACAATAGTCTTACTCATCTAACGAATCGACAACGCTGTATATATATAGATATGATAAGCAAATGGATATAAATCCGACAGAATGAAGAAAATATCTGGAAAAACAAAACAAAAATCCTTAAAATGCGATTATGTTGTTTATTCATTCATATTAAAACAACATAATCGCATTTTAAGGATTTTTGCTTTAGTTTTTCCAGATATTTTCTTCATATATAGATATGTATGTTTTTGTATAAAGCAGTGTGTACATCAATCTTGTTATCCGGAGTAACTTATTTATTTTTGTTAAAATTTGTTTCCTTAAGGGGAAGAGAATGATGGTGTTATGCCAATCTTTCAAGTGGCAAGAAACGGCATACCTTGAAAATCGACATCCTGATTTTTTTAATTGGCTCAAACATCGGCCATAGGCGGGAAATCTTCGACTATCCTAGCTATAAATCAGGCCTATCAAATTATTTAACCACCTCAGCTCAAACCCACACAGGTACTAGTGATGTCAGTCTCCTTTTCTTGTTCAAACTGATCGAGGTTAATTTTTCCACTATTTTTACTGAATCAATCTTTCTTTCGTCTCCTTTCAGGTGAAAAGAGTGAGTGAGTGAGTGAGTGAGTGAGTGAGTGAGTGAGTGAGTGAGAGGGAGGGAGAGAAAGAGAGAGAGAGAGAAAGAGAGAGACTGAGATTGTGAATGTGATTTGAGCCGGCATTCTCAATAATACCAAAAGCTAAAAACTGCTTGTATTTGGGCACGTGATCATTTCCTATAAAAAAAAAAAAATATAAAATAAAATAAAATAGACAACACCAGCAGACAATTTACAAAAATCATCTCCGATTTTCGCGACCTAAGAAAACATTTGTTATATAATTTAGCGTATCTAAAAGCTTCTTTTTATTTTCTTTTTTCATTCTCTTTTTTTTTTCTTTTTTTTGCATGATTTTTTTCTTTCTTCCTCTTTGCTCACTCTTTTTCTTTCTTACTCATTCTCTTATTTTCTTTCTTTCTTTCTTTCTTTCTTTTTTGACAATCCCGTTGGGAGAAAAAAAAACTCTTGCCTGGTTTTAATGGCCTCCACTTGATATACAACCAATAATACCATCTGCTGCTCACAGAGGGCGCCACAGAACTGAAAACCCGTTTCTTGGTCAGAAAAATTATGGAGAAGAGTAACGATTGTCGTGAATCCGCGTCTCTGTCAAAAGGGAAAGATTTATTTAATTTTCTTCTTCCGAATATTTCGTCTTGATTTTCATTTTCTTTTTCGCCAGGTCCATTTCCGCCAAATACAGCTTCTTTTTTTTTTTTTTAAATATTTTTCTCTTTTATCTTTTCTTATATTTTTCTAAGTTTATTTTTGTTTTTCTCCTACTTTTTTCTTTTTTTCTTCCTTCTTCTTATACCCCCTTCCTTAATTTCAGCGCTTCTTTTTCATCTTTTCTTTCTTCTCCTTTCTCCTTCTCTCTTTTAATCTTCACTCTTCTTATCCTTTATCGTATGAATGTCTTTCCTTTTCCTTCTTTCTCCTTCTCTCTTTCCTTCCGTTATTCATTTTACTTCAAATCGCCATTTTTCATTCGAACTTTTCACCCATCTTTGTATTCTTCTTTTAAATTTCCAACCTTGTCACAGTCTTTTTACTACCCGACTTCAATTCAAATCTGCTCATTCGATTTTACGTATTTTATTTGCTTCGATGAATTGACAGGTGAGAACGTCAGTAATATCAAAAATTGCCGGAAAGCAAATCAGAAAGACATTAAACAAAGAAAAAAGCAATGAAATTCTTTTTTCAACGTAACTTTCAATAACGTCACATCATTTTTGAAGGCGAACTTTCACGAATTTGAACATTATCAAATATTCAAAATTATTATTAGAAGAAGAACTATTCAATTTAACTTTTTTAAAACAATAAACTTGTTTATTGAAAAAAAAGTTTGAACAAAGTAAGTATAAACAATTTTTTTCTATCCTCTGCCAGTCGCAATGATGGAGAAAGTATTACCACGAACCATCGCCAGTGAGAGACGCTGCAAGAGCCACTCCGTTTCGCGAGGCACGTCCCTTAATCGAGACGCATTCGTGCCAATCCTCCGAAGGAACGCCATCGAACGAGGGCCAATAACCCCTGAAGTCTCCACTGCCACAGGAGTAAAAAAAAATCTATCAGCAAGAGAAGAATATTTCACGAATTGCAATATGAGGTTTTAGACGATGTTATTCTTTTTGTTACGATAACTTTTCGTAGGAGCAATTTTACTACCATCCACAGTCCGGGGTACAGGGATAAAAAAAATAGTTAAATATTCTTCTCTTGCTGATAGATTTTTTTTACTCCTGTGGCAATGGAGTCTTCTGGGGTTTTTGGCCCTTGTTCGATGGCGTTCCTTCGAAAGGTTGGCTGAAATTGCGTCTCGATAAAGGGACGATCCCCACGAAACGGAGTGGCTCTTGCAGTGTGTCTCACTGGTGATGGTGCAAGGTAATGCTTCCTCCATCATTGCGGCTGGCAGAGGATAGCAAAAAACAAATAAATAAAAAACATTTTGCTTATAGTTACTTTGTTCAAAATTTTTTTCAACAAATTATTAAATTTTAGGATGGGGATTTACATTCATTATAAATACTTTTCCCCAACAGCAAAAAAAAAAAAAAGAAAGAAAAAAAACCAACAAAAAAAACTGTGTATGAAAGAAGGAAATTGTTTGTTACTGCAAGGTTAGATCAATGGAAATATTTGTCGCCATTTTATTTTCCCTTTGACAACCAAATATAATTTGCGTCTAGGAATAAGCACCACTCCATTGCGGTCGTGGACTGTGTACTCTATCAGGCAGGTATACGGGATCACTAGGCACTATAAATTGAACATGTCATATTTTGCCATTTTTTGATAATAAATGAATACTGACCACTTCTTTCCATATGTATTGCAAACGGGAAGAAGGCCGGATAATGTATCGGCCCAAAGGAAAGCTTCAATTAGATCAATAACTCAAACAAATTTTTGAATTTCAACGGAGGTTTTCGAATAATTTTGGATAATTTAAAAATGAATAAGTGATGTTCTTGAATTTTTTTTTTTTTAATGCAAATTAGAATTTAAATTATTTTAGTTCGGGATTAATTTATGTATTATATATTTTAAATAGCTTAAAATTATGGATTTAACCGTTTTTTTTTTAATAGTCATGAATGTTCGCTTGGAAAAGAAGCAATTCTTTCAGAAATGAAGATATTGGAAAAAACGAAACAAAGAAATTACTAAAAAATTAAGACAATTCCTAGTTAAAATTCACCGAACGCGACCGAAAACATCCACACTTTACGGATTACCAAAAAGACATAAACTAGACATCCGTGAATGTCCTGATATACATATATACATATGTGCGTGTTTCTCTGTGTGTAAGTGTATATATATATATATATATATTATATTATATGCCTACGTATGTGTGTGCTTAAATGTATGCATATATATATATATATATATATATATGTGTGTGTGTGTGTGTGTGTGTGTGTGTGTGTGTAGGTAAGAATTTTTCCAATACCAAGAGAATATATAAGACTGTGTGCAAGTTAAATGCAGTTATTTTAGAATATACATGCATAGGTGCTCTTTGTATCAATATATAACGGCTGACAGAATATCGCTAAATATATCCCGGCTTTAATGAGAGAAAAACTGACTTCGAAAGGAAGACGCGGCGTGTAGAAAATGAAATTCTCTTCAGTGTTTCAGTTCGATAAAGCGTTCTTCGACTTCTCCTCTGAAGATCTTAAACTGCTGTTTGACAAATTACTCAATCAGATGGAAAGGTTACAAGCCCTCGCTTATTCAAGATCTACGTCTACACCTTGGAGATGTCGCATCAATAAGATCGAAATATAATAACTGAAAAGTGTCTCAAACTATATCTGTCTATATTTCTCAGATAAGGTATTATGTACACTATTTACATTATTCGGACTATTCTCCTCATCTTTGTCAGTCAGTGAATGCCTGTTTTCAGTTATCTCCTGTTAATTCCCCTCTCCAAGTTCTCCACTGCCTTAACCTGGTATTGAACTGACACTCTTTGGTTCTTGTCGCTGGATCTAACCAACGCCTTCATCCACTGCGCCATGTGTCCTTGAAGACAGCTGAAGACATTAGGTTTATAATACCCAGATATTCATACACTGATGTCCTCAAGGACACATGGCACAGTGGATAAAGGCGTTGGTTAGATCCAGTGACAGGGCCCAAAAGAGTGTGAGATCAATACATGGTTAAAGCGGTTAATCATTAAACATGGCACGTGGAATTAAAACTGTCTACCCCAGTGAGCGAAATAAAGGGTTCAGTTCGACATTCCAATCCCCTGATGAAGGCCGGTGCGGACCGAAACGTTATAATAAATATGGTGACAAAGATGAGGACAATAGTCCGAATAATGTAAATAGTGTCTCAAACTGTTATTTTAGGTTAACTGTGTGTGTATATATATATATATATATATATATATATATATATATATATATATATATATATATATATATATATATATATATATATATATATATATATATCGGTCTATTATATAATTCACTCGGTCTACTTATCATTATAAGAGACATGTTGCAGATTTTAGAAACATTAAGGATTCTAAAAGAAACATAACCTTCTCTTCGGTGAATTGACTGTAATTTCGCTCAGGGTTATATGAAACTAGACAGGACCCAAAGAGTGTGAGTTCAATACCCGATTAAGGCAGTGGAGGGAAATTAACAGGAGATAACTGATAACTGACATTCATCCAACATGGCACATCGAACTAGAACAGTCTACCCCAGTGAGCGAAATA